AAAATTTAAAAAACTTTTATTTTTGTTTTTTTAAATTTATTTTATATATAATACAAAGTTACTTCTTTTAAAATTAGTGAAAATAAATTGGGTGGCCATGATGAAATGTTATATTAAATTAGGTGGCCATGGTGAAACGTTATATGAAATTGGGTGGCCATGGTGATACTAAATATAAAGTTGGGTGGCCATGCTGAAACAAAATCAAATTGGATGGCCATGATGGCATTAAGTGGGTGTTTGGCGAGGATTAAAATTAAATTGTAATAAAAAATTTTGAAGTGTGTGGTTGAAAAGGTATGGGGACCCATGAAGATATGGTTAATATTGATTGTTTAATTTTGACATATTTTAATTAGAAACAAACAAGACTTAAGTATGAAGTTGGGTGACCATCGATGAATTTAATCCTCCTATAAACCTTTTCCTAGTGGGCTTCTTCTATTAAATAATCGGGCTTACAAGATACTGACCCAATATAGATGTTGAAGCACATATGTTGGTCGGCCAAACAAGTAGACCACGCCCCTTCATTTCTCCTTCAACAAATTAGGTTTACTGGTCATCATCCTCACCCGCCAACTTAAATCGATGAAAATCACGGCATAAACGGTTCTTCTTCCCCAGCCACTAATTCAAATCAATGCCTGAACAATTCTTCTTCCTCACTTGGACAGTTGGAGCTTCCTCCGCAATGGCGCCTCCGCGATCAACCCTCCTAGGTTTCCGTGTCCGATTGAAAATTGTAGTGTCCATCCCATATCTCATACCTATATCCGTGTCGTGTAGGCACGGGTATGCCGGGCGGAAACAAGAGTGTATTTGTCTCCCATTATTGAGAGAAAAATAGAGTAATGAATAATATTTTTTAGAGAATGTGTAGTTGAAATTTAATGTTACTTTATTGGTTTGTGTGTAGATATTTTATTGGGTGAATGTGTGGTGAAGAATCTTACTGTAACAAATAATTTTTTGGAATAATGGTAGACAAACAGGGGCATAGTATTCTAACAAAATATTAACAATTAAGACACTTCCACAAGAGTGAGAAACAAGTGAATTTTAACAATAGATTGTGTAGAATCTTTGACCATCGTGTCTTATCATCAGGCTTTTAGTTTTCATTGGTCGAAAGGGATGTTGTCATTTTTTACAATTGGTAGGCTCCAAGCCATTAGAATAAGAGAGAATTTTAAGGGATGGTATAGCTTTCTGAATCTTCTGGCACAAACCCTCGATGAGTTCGAGTGTATTCCTTTGTTGAATATTGTCTTAAATTGGGTCACAACCTACAAGGAAATGATTATTTTTGTACTTTAGTTTTTGGTCGGCAGCCTATGACTATGAATGCCTTTTGATAGGGAGTGAATAAATGCCGAGCTTGATCCAGTTCAGAGTTGTATGTTGTTTATATGGATTGGGAATTTTTTTTATTTTTTCAGGAAAGGAGTTGCGATAGGGAGGTTGGTTGGATTTGATGACATGGGAGGTAAAGATGATTTCAGCACGAGGACTCTTGAAGTTATTCTGTTGAAGAAAGGTGATGGTTTTATACAAAATGCTTTGCGACTTGGATATGTTACTGCAGTTTCTAAGCTATCATTTTGCAGGAATGATTGATGAGAAGAAAGGAGAAGAAGATAATGATGATTATCTTGATAGTAAACGTACATCAGTTAGATCATCTGTGTATCCCGATTCTGATTCGGACTAGAAAGAAATTTGCTGTGCTTCAGCTGTTGTCATACTCAATTCTCTACCTACCAATTTTTCATGAGAAAGATTTTGGTTGGGAGAATTTTTTTTCCACGAAGGTCGGGCGAGCAGTACATGACGGCAATCCTAAAAGATGTAGAAAATTTGATAAATGGTGCAATTATCTCTGTCAATTTCATTTTGTTCGATGTGAGATATTTACTATTAATCAGAAGTATGTAAAAGCTGAAAACTTTCTAAGAAAAAGAGTGGTGTGAGAAATTTGTTGGTTATTGCGTCCAATTCTATTCTTTTCATATCAAATATTTGGTTCATCCAAATTGTCAATTATTGTGTCCAATATTGTTACCAAGTGTGTGGTACGTGGAAACTTTTTGTTTCAAATTAAACACGGTTTGAACCCAACTATTTACTTATACTTCGAAATGACAAACTTCAAATTAAAACAAATCATAAACATTATTCAATCATATAGCATTTCTTTAATATTCTGAGAACAAAAGATTAGCAGTAATCTATGATGGACAGTAGGTAAATCATAAGTTGAATGTTAAAGGGTAAGTTCTAGCTTACGGTTTGCAAACTGATGCAAAAAAATTACACAAGATTGCAGCTCCCTCAAAGTGTAGAGTCCAACCCGGCATTTGAATCACAGAGGGAACTTCCAGCAAGTAAAACATGTGGCTTGCGAACATTGAATTTCACAATAGCCCCCTTCGTCTCTTGTGGTCGCTGACTGTCAAGGTCAGTGCATGCCTCCCGTCATTTTCAGGAACTTTACAGCCTACAGTCGCTTCCATCCTTTGTTTCCTGGCCATAAATCCAGCTTGGGGCTCCTTGAGGACCGCCAAACTTCTGAAGCAAGGCCAATGAAATGGGCAATTCAAAATTATGTAGTAGGTTTGTTTCAGTCCCTTGGTCGACTGGAGCTCTTGTATCCACAAACTTCCCGGCATCAGCTGCTGCTTCCAGGGCTGCGGCTGTAGCCGCCATTCCAGCCTCAGCCGAAACTTCAACTCCTCTAGTACAGCAATCGCATCACCATTTGTCTCGCCTGCTGCTGCTGCTCCAGATGCTCCACCGGAGTTCGACAGGTAATAATTCCTTGATCTCGTCCATCTTGAAAAGGGATCGTACACCGCTTCACCAGCTTTCAAACTCGTATTCACGGGTTTCTTTTCTGATGCGTTTTTGAAATTCTGAACCCTGTTCCTCTTGTTCATTTCTGCAAGGCAAGTCGCCTTTGAATCTTTCCCTTGGGTTTGACGCGATGCCTCCAATTCTTGCAGTCTCGCTTTGATCCTCTCAACCTCTACCTTGTCATCCCTCATTTTGGCAACTTCCAACTCTCTCCTGAGACGATCTTTTTTGGCAGCCTATTTAATGGTTCACGGTTGCCATGTGGCAGATTTTTTCTCCTGCAACATTTGTTTTGACAGTGGCTGCAGAGTAGACAAATGTGTTTGTTTTCTGTATGGCATCTCACTATTCCACCACCTCCTGTTTGCTAGGCATATGATCACCACTGCGTTCTACCTCCCTAACCCATTGATGAAACTCCTTGAGTGGCGGAGAATCTGAAATCATTGCCATCTGCCACCTGGCAGCTGAGCTTTCATTGCCCCAGACCACATTCAGGTAATTGTATGTGGTTTCATTATCAAGTTTATATTGCCTAACAGGGTCCGAGGCATCAACATTGCGAACCATACAGAGTCTGTAGATAGGCCCCTTCCTCGACTTCCCAATTCCAACCCTCACGAAACAACCAACAATCAGTTCATCGAAAAAGGGTTCCATAAACCATTTTGCCAGTTTTGACCTTTGATTCGCAATTTCCCTAATATCCTCAAATGTTGGCGTCTTGGACTCGGATATCTTCTCATCACCACTGTCAGCCATCCCACCATCCCCCAATGAATCTCCCTCATCACTATGAGACCCACTTCCACTCCGGCTTGGACTACTAGAAGTAGTCGTAGTGAGAGATCTCTTTACAGGGGAGTATCGACTGCCAGGACCTCCCCTAGCTTTATCCCTCTTTATTTTAGTTCATCCAATGCACCTGCCCTTTCAGCTTTGGAGCGCAGCATGCACATAGGTGGTGTGGGCTGACTCCCTTCTCTATATCGACCCTTCATGTTTTTTTTTTTCAATTTTTCTGTCAAATCTGTCACTTCTCTTTGTTGCACGAGCTTCTAGTATCATTTCTCATTCAAGTTCAGTTAGCTTTGAAAGCTTTTCTCCATCTTCTTCGTCCTTGTACAGATCACTCCCAACAGAATCATCATCACTGTCACGCTCTTGATCATAATCATCATCTTCATCAAAGTCTACCTGACTACTACGGTCATTGTCTCTTTCTGTGGGATCCAATCTCTTCTTGAGAGGCACTTGTGAGCCAGAAGGTTTTCTATTTGAATAAGCGTGATCATCATCAGAGTCATCATTTTTGAAGTCACTTCCATCATCAGTTTGTGAACCTCTTTGCCGTCTTCTAGATGGTGGAGATGAATGGCGGTTCCTCCCAGCTGTCTCCAGAAGCAACTTCTCTAAGTCCACCAGTGCCCTTTGTGCCAATCCTCAAGCTGCATTAAACACTAGTAGTTAATTAACTAGTTCATACAGAACAAACCAGATATGATTATGTAAAATAAATAACCCAAAACACAAAAATAATTATTTCTTAAAAGAAAGCATTTCAAGGAAAACAAGTTTTCGTGACTGATTGTATGGATCCATCACATAATCAAATTTTCCCACTTATCAATAGATCTCAACAGTTAACACTCGACACTACAACAACAACAAACTATGCCAGTGCCCAATAAATTTGGTGTCAGCTTCAAGAATCCTTTTTTGAATTTGCTCTAAACACTATTTTCTAAAAATCTAACAACTTAATTACGGATACTGTTTCTCAGATTTTTGCAGCCACTACAAAGAACGATGCTCTACGTATCAATTTTGCTTTCCAGTATCTTTTAATTACCAAGGAAAGTGATCATAACTTCTCGGCAAATTATTGGTTAGGTATGATTTATTTTCCATTTCAAGCTTGGATATAAACCAACAATTGGCCACTCATTACCAATCCACACTATCAACATCACTATATATAGTAAACTAAAATTCCAGCAGACACTTCCCCATCATAACATCTGTTCATTCTTGAACTCAGTTTTATCATACTCTTCAACAATTATATAAATAATGAGAGAAAACCAAGTTACTCTTAGGTCCGTTTGATTGCAAATGTGGAAAATTGGTTGAAAAAAATGAATTCCAGATAATTGAGTTCAGAACCTGGAAACCTTTTCCCTCCTTTTCCCACCACTCAGGAGGGAAAAGGTTTTCCACAAAAGCCTTGATGGGGGGAGGTGGGAAAAAGTTTTGCCAAGAAAATTAACCCTATCAAACACCTAAAAAGTGAGAAAATGGAATTTCCACCCTATCAAACACAACCTTAGTTCTTGCTCAACAATTGTAATAACAGATTCATGGAACAAATGTGCAAAATAAATGGAATAACAAAAAAACTCAAACGCGACATACAGATTCTAGTTCTTGTGCAATCGGTGATTCAAAATATTGAATACCAGACGATGAATTTATAAATACAATTATAACCCAAAACAATATACATAATGTGTAAAACAGAGTACCAAAAAACATAGAACAAACAATGCTTGAGGAAGAAAAAAAAATCTCTAAATAGTAGAACTTAGACAAATTTGCTTAAAGGTAATATCATTTCCTAATGAAAAATGCTATCTAGCACCTACAACACCAATATAGGAGGCACTATGTAATAGGCTCAACTAAAAATAAATTTCTGTGACTCATTTAACTATGCCCTCTTATTCAATGCCACTTGATGTCCCGAAGACCGACAATGGTGCTAAATAACAATACTCTTTCCTAATTGACATCAATACACTTTACATAAAATCGACGAGCTTCCTTTCTCAGGGAAATGACTCATTCCAAGCTAAAATTTTGTGACTCATTTAATTGTGCAGCTTATTTAGCCCCCGTTTGACACCCTTTTTTTATCTCATTCTCATTCTCATTTTGCTACAGTACTCATTTCTAACCACACATTCTTCAAATAAAATAATATTACACATAAACTCAAAAATCCTTCTTACTTTTTAACCACACATTCTTTACATCATTCACTATTCAAAAACTCATTCTTCAAAAGAATGGGTGAAATTCCAGCAGACACTTCCCCATCACAATGCCACTTGATGTCCCGAAGACCGACAATGGTGCTAAATAACAATACTCTTTCCTAATTGACATCAATACACTTCACATAAAATCGACGAGCTTCCTTTCTCAGGGAAATGACTCATTCCAAGCTAAAATTTTGTGACTCATTTAATTGTGCTGCTTATTTAATGACACTTAGATTGATAATGGTGCTAAAATAGTATTACTCATTCCTACTTGACATCAATTCACATTACATAAAATCGACAAGTTTCCTTTCTCGGGGAAATGACTCATTCTAATTTGAAAAAATTAGCTATTTTAGATTGCTACACTTTGGGATGGAAATCTCTTCATTCTTTAGATGTTTCTATGGCTCAAAGTTCAAAATAAAGCCAATTCCGATTCAATCTATAAAGACTTACAGGTATACATAGTACTAAACCAACAATCTTCTTTTCGTAAGGGCATGCTTGGGAGTTTTCTTTTTTTATGGTTTTGACCGATTTTGGGTGGCAGCGTTTATGAGGGAAATGGAAAAACTGGTGCTTACTCGTTTTTTTAGTACCGATTTTGAATGGTTTAAAAACCGCCCAAAACTGGTGTAGTGTAATTTTGACCGGTCTCTCAAGGAGATTTTGATTGTTTCTCATATTCTCCTCTAATTTTACCCTTTATGAAATAATTATTTCCAACCAACATATTTTCTTTGAAACTAACTTGTAAATAAAAATATATTAACTAAAAAATTATTTATAGGCAAACAAAATTAAATTATAATTAAAAAAATACTTATAAGTAAACATTATTATAAGATAAGAAAAAATACATAATATTTAAAAAATTACTTATAATTAAAAAACCATTCTTATGTAAAAAAATTGTTTATAAAATAAAAATACAACTAATAATATAAAAAGTTACTTATAAGTAAAAAACTCACTTAAAATTATTTAAAAGTATAATATTAACTTATAATTGTAAAATTTAGTTATATATAAGTAAAAAATATTAACTTATATGTAAAAAAAATTACCTATAACTAAGCCCATGTTTGACACACATTCTTTAAAAGGAACAATACATTTCTAAGGTATTTACTTTACACATTTTCAAAAATACAATAACAAGTTTCAAATTTCACAAATCAGGTTTTTTAATTTTTTATATATGAATTAATGAATTATTAAATCAATTTATTATTAAATATTTAATTGTATTATAATATAATTACTCAACTCCACCTCCACCACTCCTACCGCTTCGGGGACTATTCCGGCTACTGTTTCGGTCACACTCATCTCCGACAACCGTTCTGACGACTGCTCTGATTCCGGCGACGATTCCGATGACCTTTTCACCGCCACTTTGTTCCGGCGACTGCTCCGATTCCGGATAAAATTTTTAGGTCACAATTCAAAATTTTCATAGGTTACAATTTGTTTATTGGTCACAACTTAAAAATTTAAAAGTCACAATTTGTTCATCGGTCACAGATCACAAAATTTATAAGTCACAATACTTATTTAGATCACAATTTATCAAATTATTGGTCACAAATTAATAATTTATTATAATATAATTACCCAACTCCACCTCCACCACTCCTACCGCTTCGGGGACTATTCCGGCTACCGTTTCGGTCACACTCATCTTCGGCGACCGTTCTGACAACTGCTCTGATTCCGGCGATGATTCCGATGACTTTTTCACCGCCACTTTGTTCCGACGACTGCTCCGATTCCGGAGAAAATTTTTAGGTCACAATTCAAAATTTTCATAGGTCACAATTTGTTTATTGGTCACAACTTAAAAATTTAAAAGTTACAATTTGTTCATCGGTCACAGATCACAAAATTTATAAGTCACAATACTTATTTAGATCACAATTTGTCAAATTATTGGTCACAATTTAATAATTTTTAGGTCACAAAGCATTTATTGGTCACAGTTTATCTAATTCATTGGTCACATCTTGTTTCCTAGTCATAAACTAACCAAATTATTGGTCACAAACCACCTAATCAATTGTGACCACTACTTCGCCATTACCTCCATCAGGGGCACCACCACCGTCGCCGCCCAGTAGCCAAACTACACCAAAACAAAGAACCACTGACGCCACTACCAACAACAACAAAAACCACGATCTCAGCACCAAATGGAAATTATCAGTGGGCGATTTCGCAAAACACCCCAACCACACCAAAACACAGAACAACAACAAAACCGCCGCCAGATCCGCGATAGCCAACAACAAAAATTGGCCCTAAATATCTCAACCTCAACTAGCACAACGTATACCTCAGCAGCAGCGCACTCACACAGGAAAGCACCTACGACCAGAACAGGAAAAAAAAAGATCTGCACGCACACACAAACATGGACCCACACAAGACCTCATCTCAGCTGGACACCGGAAAATGCGGTGAGCCAGGGGGTTCCTGAAAGGAAGGTGGAAGGAGAAGCGAGCAGCCTTCTCTTCGGCGCCAAACCTAGTGGCGGCACTACGAAAGGAGGATAGCCATTTCTTTCGGGAGAAGAGAGAGATAGAAGGGTGGAGGATGCGATGGGTGGAGGCGGCGTCAGGCGATGGGCGGAGAGAGTGTAGAGACGGTGAGAGAGGGTAAAAATGGGTGAGAAGCGGTTTCTTCATATTATATTAGGCAAACTAATCTATATTAAATATAAAAAAAAATGTTTTTAAATTTTTAATTAAAACCCGATTTTTGAAATGTTAAACTTTTGATCTTATTTGTGAAATTGGAAATCTAATTCCAGGTGTAGGTGTAATTTCCTCTTCTTTAAAAATACATTTTTTCAACCACACATTTTTCATTAAAATAATATTTTTCATCACATCAATAATTTTTCCTTACTTTTTAACCACATATTTTTCATCATATCACTATTTAAAATACATTATTTTCTCCATAATATCCTAAAATATCGCTTATGAGGAAAAAAAATCGTATAAGAAACAATAAACAAATTTTTTTTACTAAGAGATGTATATGTACTTTTTTTCTTTAAAAAACTTTCAAGAATCGATGGATAATAAACTACCTAACATAGGTTGACCGTGACTAAAATCGCTCAAAATCGGTAATTTAAACAACGCCCATAACTGGAACGCCGAAACTCCCAAGTAGGCCCTAAAGGTCTATGAAGATTCAATAAGGGATGCATTGGTAAGCTTTCATAAAGAGAATTTATTTTATACTTAATTAGGCCAAATTAAAAATCTCATCACCCCAGGAAGAAGAGGAAACAAAAAGAAAACAGTTCAGTCGATGGGGAAAATAACCATGCTTCGCAATAAAGAAAGACAAAACCGAAGGTCTTCCCTGAATAATTTCTCATAATTAACCCCAGAACGTGAAATCCACCAGAAAAAAAGATTGAACAAAAAAAAAAAGTAGAAATTATATCATATAGCAAAAACAATTTGTACAAATTAGAGCCAAATTCAACACCGATTCCATCAAAATTTCTCGTGATTTTTCACCTTTAAGTGAAATGTTTTCATAAAGATACATAACCAGGGCAATGAATTATCAAACAAGAAAACTGAATTTATACCAATAAATAGAAATCTGCGAACCCTGGACTCTTCCCAAACCCTTTCTTTCAGAATTTCAAGAAGAAAAGAATAATTTCAAGTACGTATAAACAGCATTGACACGAACACACAAACATACACAGAGAGAACTTACGAGTGACAAGAGACTGAAAACCTAGGTGAAGCTTCTCGTTCGAACAAATCTATCATCTCCGAGCGCCAAAATTCGACGCGCGTTTCTATAGCTGTGTGTATATATATGTATGTACATATATCTGCGCTTGTGGGTCCAGATTGTTCCTATATTGACCTCGACTCCCTCGTCTTTCGCTTTTTTACTGAATAAGTGCGTTAATTTATATTTTTTTTTTGGATAAAATTAAAGGGAGAAATTGACAGGAGTAAAATTACGTGTAGCACCAGCAATTTCTCTTTCCTACCTAGATTATGACGAGTAAGGAGGAGTGTACCCTGTACACAAGAATGTACATCTAGCATAATTGATTTGTATGAGAGTTGAAAATTACTATCAAAATTATTTAATTAAATATTTTTTTATTATCAGGTTCGACCTTAACCATTTATCTACTTGCTAGAACAATTTCCAAAACAAATATTATTGAATACCACTTACGATTGAGAAAAGAAAGAAAAAATTACTACTTGCTAAAGGGACAAAATTTGTTAGAACCAAATATTCCGCCAGCTTCAGCAGGAATCTCTCTTCAACTACTACAAAAAAAATACCAAATCCCTGAAAATTTGTGAGCGTTGAACATGGAAGAAACGGAGCACAAGTACGTACAAGTAAACGGGCTAAAGATCCATTTCGCTGAAATCGGATCCGAGTCATCTCCGGTAGTGGTTTTCCTGCACGGGTTCCCGGAAATATGGTACTCTTGGCGCCACCAGATGATTGGTGTAGCTAAAGCCGGGTTCAAAGCCATTGCATCCGATTACCGAGGTTACGGTCTGTCCGATCCGCCTCCCCAACCCGAGAAGGCCACCTTTGCTGACTTCATCTCTGACCTCAATGCTCTTCTTGATGCTCTCGCAATTCCAAAGGTAAACATACAGAACCAAGTTGTCTAAAAGTACATAGTGCATGTTCCGTAAAAGGTTACTTATCAGTAAATTCTTTACAAGTAGGTTATGTTATAAATAATATCATGTATTGATTAATAGTGAAATTATGTTAGTTACTTATTTTGAGAGCACGCTTACAAGTCTCTGAATAATCTAGAATGCCCGATGATCCTTTACTCCAACAATGTTTAGGATTCTTCAATCACGTCAACTCGATCCGGTCGAGAATACTTTATATCTATGAATCTCATGTAAATGTAATGTACACAGGTTTTTCTTGTTGGTAAAGATTTTGGAGCCCGAATTGCATACTTTTTGCCCTTCTCCACCCAGACAGGGGCGGAGCCAGGATTTTTGGTCGGGGGGCACAAGTTACCTGATAATGAACGTCGAGTTTTGTCATGGATGTAATGATAATAAAAATATAAAACAATATTACGACAATACTAAAAGTGACATAGTTTATAAATTACACTTGTTCCTTTCGAGTTTTCATGTTTTGATATCGTTGTACAATAACTTCATTATCGAGCTTCAAAAATATATCTTTCTCTACATAAACAATTGTACTATCATTCATCCACTGATCACCCATCCTATTACGCAATCTATCCTTCACAATGCTCATTGCAGAAAA